CGCGGGGAAGCATAAAAACACATGGTTCGCAACATCAGCGTTCATCACGGGTTGGCGCGCGCCCCTGCGAATTCTGAAGAAAGCGCGCGTCGAAATCCCCGTCGCAACCTTCATCACCGACGCGAGCGTGCCATCATCGACATCGGCGCGATCAGCATCGGCGCCGCCATTGCCCTCGCCGTCGCCATTGTCACCATCGCCACTATCATCATCGCGTCTGCCGTTGTCGACGTCGCCACGATACCGCGCCCGCACGACTCACCGCTTCGCAGCGAAGTGCCCGCGCGTCAACGCGGCCCGCGAGACGCGCTTGGAAGTCCGCGGCGGCCAGCGCCACCGCGGCCGCGTCGGTCGCGCCAGACTAGCCGGCCGCTCTGCGCGCAAGCCTACGCCCTAGCGCGGCCGCGGCGATGCGCCAGCCGGCGCCGAGCAGTCATCATACCCGCCGCCCCTTGCGTTTTGCAAACCAAGTTGCGGGCGGGCGGGCGGGGCGATTGCGCGAGCAGCGGAGTTGACTTGACAGTTCCAAGATCGGCGGAGCGTGTTTCACCACATGGATCACACCACACATGTTGCATCCCATTTTAAATCCAATCTAAAATCGAATCGGATCTACCACCCACCCACCCCCATGCCCTCCGGGATTCCTCCCGCCCCAGGGATGTGCGGTTTAAATGCGACACTGCCCCCTCGCTCATTCTTAATGTGAGATCATACGACCCCAGCCGAGCCGACATCGCCCCCCCGCCCAAAAACACACACACACACAGACACACACACACACACACACACACCACCACCACCACCACCACCACCACCACCACCACCACCACCACCACCACCACCCACCAGCCTCTGCATAAAACACTACGCGCGCACACTCGCTCATCGAAACTCATCAGTTTGTAACGCTTCAAAACAAAACGCGAAAAGCACGCGCGCGTCGTCGCGCGCGCGTGCCGGAATCTGCCAAGCACCTCGGGGCCCGCAACGACGTCAATATCAAGTGCCCCGAAGACACATCAAGGCCACAAGAGTCGGTAACATCAGCGACCGGGAAGAACACCAACGAACAAACCACAACCACAACAACAACGACGACGGCGACAACAAGAACAACAACAAAAATCTGCGCGAGCGCGCTCTTGCGACGCATTGAGGAAATCATTGGTTCTCCAACACCTTCATCGAATGCGACCGAAGGGGCCTCTCGCGCGCGCATGTCGAAATCACTCCAACGCCCTTACGCGCGCACTGGGGGGGGCACGATTCCTGTCAAGTAATAGCACGCGGGCCACACGCGCCCGTCGGCCAGGCGCGCATGTCGAAATCCTTCCATCATCGCCACCAGCCCCGCTACAATCATTATTGTGTCCGCCGTCGTCGACGTCGCCATGATACCGCACCCGCCCGTCAACGACTCGCAGCGAAGTGCCCGCGCGTCGGCGCGGCCTGCGAGACGCACAGGGAAGTCCCCTGCGGTCAGCGCCACCGCGGCCGCGTCGGTCGCCCCAGACTGGCCGGCCTCTCTGCGCACGAGCCTGCGCGCGCTCGCGCGGCCGTAGCGACGTGCCAGCCAGCACACGGCAGGCATCATAATTGCCGCCTCATGAATTTTGCAATCAAATTGCGGGCGGGTGTGCGGGACGATTGGAAGAGCAGTGGAATTGACACTTCACTGCGGGCAAAAAACGAATAGCACAGCATAGATTGCACCACTTAGGGTGCACCACGTCGATCGCGGCGCACCACGTAGGCTCTCATTTCCGAAAAGGGCTCAAGATCCACCGCCACCCCGAGGGCGAGATTGTCCCCCCTCCCCATAGGGGATGTGCTAGTTTCACACGATCCTGCCCCACCGCTCATGCTAACCATGAGTTCGTAGCATCCCAGCCATGCTGGTAGCGACTGGTCCGTTCACCCCTTTCAGAAAATATGCCCGCTCATTCGTTTTTTGTATCAAGATCATCCATGTGCAAGGATATTTTTCCTAGCGAACAAGGGATAACAGTCCACACGTGCACTCCGCGCGCGCGCCAAATCCTTCAAAAAATGCAAGCTTCGCAAGGATTGCAAAATCGAGCGCCCCGATGACATACAAAAACACAACGATCAGCATCGGCGAAGCCATCGGCATTGCCGTCGCCATCGCCATGGTCGTCACCAGCACCGATAGAATCATCATCGCGCCTGCCGATGTCGACGTCGCCATGATACCGCGCCCGCCCGACTCACCGACTCTCAGCGAAGCGCCCGCGCGCCAGCGCGGCCTGCGAGACGTGCTTGGAAGCCCGCGGCGGCCAGCGCCACCACGGCCGCGTCGGTCGCGCCAGGCTGGCTGGCCGCTCTGCGCGCGAGCCTGCGCGCGTTAGCGCGGCCGCCGCGAAGCGCCAGCCAACGCCAAGCAGTCATCGCAATCGCCGCCGCATGGGTTTTTCAATCAAGTTGCGCGCGGGCGGGTTGGATGATTGCGCGAGCAGTGGAGTTGGCAACTTCAAGTTCGGCAGCGCAAAGCGCGCCAGATATTGCACAACGTCGGCTGCACAACCTAGATTGCACCGCGCAAATTGCGCGCCACCGATATTGTACAACATCAACTGTTCCACATAGATCACACACAACATATTGCTAAGGACTCACTGCTTGGGCCCACGCCGGATAACATAATCCCACGTTTATGCCCCTAAGAGTGCTTGAGCTTATTTCTGGTTTTAGTGGACGACTACGATATTGATTGGGTATGCCGCGAATTCGGCACCATGCCGCCAGTTGCCGCATATAGGGGCATGCCGAAGATTTGTCACGTTGCCGCACGTTGTCGCTGCATCGCTCGCCGCCCATTGCCGCCTCGCGCTCTGCGTGGGTATGACGAGGATTTGCCACGGTGACGCACGTCCCCCCCTCGTTACCGCCTCGTGCGCCGCGTGGGTGTGACGAGGACTCGCCACGGTGCCGCCCGTTGCCGCCTGCGGGCGTACGCCGAGAATTCGCCAAGTTGTCGCCCGTTGCCACCGGGGTGGGTATGCCGAGGATTCGCCACGTTGCCGCCCGTTGCCGCCTCGTGCGCTGCGTGGGTACCCCACAGATTCTCCACCGGTTGCCGCTTGTGGGGTATGCTGGGAATTCGCCACGTTGCCGCCGATTGCCGCTTGTGTGAGTATGGCGCCTCCTGCGCTGCGTGGGCTTGCCGAAAATTCGCTACGTTGCCGCCCGTTGTCGCCTTGTTGGCGCGTTCGTTGCCGCCTCGCGCTTTGTGGGTACGCCGAAAAATTGCCACGTCGCCGCCCGTTGCCGCCTGTACAGTCATGACGAAGCTTCGCCAAGTTGCCGCGTGTCGCCGTTTCGTTTCCGCGGCGTTGCCGCCCGTTGTCCCGGCCGCGTGGCT